TAATGCGTGGCATGATAGTTGCCCCTTTGTCTTGATTAGTGGTGTTGGTGGAGGTTTGAGGAGGCTTTAAAGGTTGACCACAGTTTCCAGGTGTCAGTGGCAAAATGAATGTTGTCGTTGTAGAAAGCCTTTGCAGGAGTGACTCTGGATGCAAAGGAATACAATAGTGACTGGAAAAGTCCAAAGAGCTTTTCGAATTGTGCGATTTGTGTTTCCTTTCAGCAGTTCTGAGGTTGGTATGCAACTATCAGAGGGTATAACTTAATCATGGGTGGGACTTTGAGGGTGGAACGGTTCTGGTGGATAGAGGACACAGGCTATACAGACAAGAGTTCAGTGTAGAGCACAGAGACTCAGGGAGCAGTTCTGGCTCTGGTTCTGCTCTGCAGTCTGAGAACCTTGGTTCTTTCTGGTGAACCAGCCCACATTCAGTGTGTTTACCAGTTTAAGTGGCAGGATGTTACTCCATGTTACTAAAGCGACAGTAAACACCCAGCAACGGCAAAATGGCAGATCGCATAGAGCATCTGCAGGCTTTCTTGCTGTTGCTACAGACATTTGTTTTCATACAACAGGCCAGCATGCACCAGCTGTTGATGGTAAGAAGAGGTAGAAAATGTAGAATGTGAACGGTTTGTGAAATTATATAGAGGCTGATACATCCGCCGTGAACCACCGCACATTCTTTTTCTATATGTTTCTCTGTGGTAAAAGACTCGGGTTGCAGATCCGTTGGAGTAGCTCTCAGAGTTCAGCAGCACAGGTCTATGGAAGTATTGGATACAACTTGGCCCTGATTACCTCACTGACACCACCCTCTTATTTTACCAGTCTTACATGCATCTGGCAGTGAGCAATTTGTCACCAATGCTGGCTGTCATTTTCTTCCATCCCTGTCAACAACATTGTCACCTAAAACTCGCTCCTTTTCCCCCCCTTTTTTTTTAATCTACATGCTCCAACTTGGTGAAATCATCCGGGCACTATACTTTAGCATCCCTGATCAACTTCTTCCATGAAATAAAATCTTGGCCATTAGCCAATCTACTCAAACTCACGGTGGTGGCTTCCAAAGCACTGCTCAGTAACTCCCATGGCCATTAGCCAATCTACTCAAACTCAACAGCAATTAAGCAGAACTCACGGTGGTGACTTCCAAAGCACTGCTCAGTAACTCCCCATCCTCAGAGGTCCACAACCTCAGAGTACTCCTCAACTCTACCTTTCCATTTCAGTCCCACATCAACTGTATCACCAAATCCGTCTTTTTCCACCTGAAAAACCCGTCGGGAAAAATTGCTCGACTGCAACCAACCATCACTCACTGACTCAGTGCCATAGAAACATATTCACTCTTTCATTTCTTTACAGTTTGATTACTCAAATGCAGATCTGTTTGGAGTTCTCAACAAAAGCCTGGACAGGCTCCATTACATCCAGAACTTTGCTGCTAGGGTCCTCACTTGCACCAAACCCTGGCCGCACGTCAACCTGACTCTCCACCGACTTCAGGTCAAGTTCCCCATCTCTTGTAAAACTTTGCTCCTCACCTAAAGACAGAGTTCCCTAGAGCAGGAGTCACCAACTTTTTTGAAACTGTGATGGACTTCAAGAGCACTTAGATATATGCAGAGTTCATAAAGGCACCGACTTCAGGTCAAGTTCCCCATCTTTTATAAGAGCAGGAGTCACCAACTTTTGAAACTGTGATGGACTTTATAAAGATTGTATACTTGTATGTATATTTAAACTAAACCCAGGTAGATAATTCCAGTACTTCGACTTTAACTTGAACAACCAACCCATACGGTACTCGGTCAATATGTTTACAGTCATAGTGATGACATTACAATATTTGTCCGCTAGATGACAGCATCTGACCAAAATCTGAGAAACTGTGTAGTCAACGTAAATGAACTTGAATGAAAACACACAATACAAATATTTTCTATATTTAAAGAACATAAAAAACATGAAAAACCATAGCGTCCTAAACAACAAAAACATAAAAATGACATTGAGCTGCTGAGCTCCGAGCCCCGTACTTGTTTGGTAAGAACCTCTAGGGGGCAGTGATTGCATCTGGGCTGATACCTTCTTACAACTGCGCACCCCTCCTCCCCCCATCCTTTGGGAATCCTTTGGCCTAATTAAGACATTCTCATTACAGCTACTGCACTTCTCTGCATTATTAATATTAACTACTAGTTAAGATGAGTCAGTGGTTTGAAAATTGTTACCCAAACGTTATGGGGGAAACGGCTTCAATGTTTTGGGATTTCTCAGCCTTCATAAGTCACAGACAGCTTCCTTTGATTAATTTTGATAGTTTTCATATTTTACAGGGCCAGAAAAAGTGAAAAAGTCTCTTATAGAAATGTTCGAAAATGTTGAAGGTTTGTGAAGTTCTTTGGTTTGCAGGGCAAGGACCTGTGTTGCTATTCATGTTCATTACAGGCCAGAAGACACTCACAGGAATGACACCTCAATGATCACATTTCCATGTGATCATTGAGGTACAGATGTCTCTGTATCGCACAGTTATGTTTGCAAATGCCATAAACTACTCTAAGTAGGCTATGATTACAAAGACAAGGTGGATTTTGGTATTAGAAACTCAACAAGATTTGGATCAAAAATCAAATGTTCTTTTGTTGCCTTTGTTCATGTTTCACTTAAATGTCCTCAATAAACACAACACCGTTATAAAGTATTTTTTTTCAAAATATGAATTCTGTCATTACGATCAAAAATCAAATGTTCTTTTGTTGCCATTGTTCATGTTTCACTTAAACGTCCTCAATAAACACAACACTGTTATAAAGTTTTTTTTTTTTCAAAATATGAATTCTTTCATAACAATTATTTATCAAAAATGTCAAATAAAATATATTACCGAATCCCAATGCTCAAAGCAAAGTCTTAAAAAGTACACAGTACCATTCCTACCTTTCCTCTGTGAGGGCTCGGGTTGCCTCAGCTTTTCCCTTCAGTGTAATGTACAGCTGTGATGTTGCCTGCCAGGAATCTGGATGTAGAAGTTGTTGCTGCATCACCTGATGAAGATAATGATAGATTTCTGAATCACCACATGGATCTTCTTTCTGATGTCCATCTTGAAAAATGTGTGTTGATGCTTCCTCTACGACGAAGCCACAGCCTTGTGAGCCAAACCTATAAGTCAGTACACCTCATAGTTAATCTAAGTATAACCATATATGGTCAATACAATTGGTTTACTGGACCTAACCATATATGGTCAATACAATTGGTTACCTTTATGACTGTGTGTCATAAAGTACCTAGGCCATTAGGTAACATATTTCAAATAAAGAAGACACTATTATGAGATCTGTCTGTCTCTCTCCCATCCTGTCTCACTCGTTGATTCATTGCTGTGGTCTTTTGCTAACCTTAGTTGCTAACATTAGCTGCGGGGCTAACTCACCTCACTTTGTGCTTGTCCGCAACAGAGGTGAACAGAAACAGGGAAGTTGTGGTTATGTGTGTTATTATCAGCCACACCGACCACAACAGAACATAAACAGTATTTTAACAGCCACTGTATAACCACCTCACACTTCAACATGACTGCTCTCAACTTTTGCTACCACTCTCTCGCGCGCGTGCCCCACACAAATATACGCACACAGCCATTCACGGACACACGCTACTAGTAGGCTATAACACACAGTAGCCTACCAGAAACGTAATTGATCGCTAGCGGCATGAACTTCGTTAGCCCGTAAAAATCCATATATTAGCCGCATCATTGTTTAAGCCGCAGGGTCCAAAGCGTGTGAAAAAAGTAGCGATTCATAGTCCAAAAATTACGGTAGTTTTCTATTTTTTTTGCTAACTTCATACAGTAGTTGCAGAATTTTGCTTAGTTCCTAGTTGTTATTTTTTGCTAACATTGTAGTCGCTTTTTTATGCTAACTATCATAGTTGAAGTTTTTGCTTACATTATAGTTGCAGTTTTTTTTTAACTTCATAGTGTTTGTTTTATGGAAGCATCATGGTTGTGGATTTTGCTAGTTTCATTTTGTTGTTTTTGGTCACCATCATAGTTTTTTAATTTTGTTAACTTAATAGTGTTTATTTGCTAACGTCACAGTTCCAGTTATTATGTTAACTTTTTTTATTTACTTCATAGTACATTTGGTCCACTTTATTTAGTGTTTTCTTAAACGCATAATTAGTTTTTTTTCTAACTTCACAGTTACAATTTTTGCTAATTTCATAGTCGTGTTTTTTTTTAAATCTAACTTCAATGTTGTGTTTTTTTATGGAAACTTCATAGTGTTTGTTTTTATTCTAACTTCATAGTTGCAGTGTCTTGCTGTTTTCATAGCTGTTTTATTTTTTATTTTTTGGTTAGCTCCACAGTTGTCATTTGCTATCATCAATAATTGAGAATAGAATTGAAGTTCACAAAACCACGTACCTGCAATAGACAAAAAAGTTGACGATACAGACCCTCAACTACTCCTCAGCATTGAGGAGTTTCAACTGGAATCAGGAAACATACATCGCACTCCCATCTACTGACAAACCCTCATAACTAAATAGTCAGCAACATAATCTCTGCAAAACTATTTAAACATTTGTTTAAATGACTGCTCAAAAAAGAAACGAACAAAAACCAAAACCACAAAAGATGTTTGACACATTACTAATTCTAACACAGAGCACATCTGAACTTTACTTTAGTCAAAACTGATCATATCTCGCTGAGCGAACCCACTTTTGACACTGAAATGGCTCCAGATAGATCCAAGGAAGAGAGCTGGCTGGACCTGCATCTTTGCTCCTGTACAGTTCACATTTCGTGCACTGAAGTCAGCTTCAGCCATTGATTTGATCTGATCTCAGTGATAGGACTTTTATCCCTGAAAAGTTCTATTAAAGGAAGGTGAACTACTTGTCATTGTGACACAGCACACCACTGCACATAACGAAATGTGACCTCTGCTTATAACCCATCACCACATCATCACACATTACAATACATTTTTTTATTGAATTCCTTTGTAAATATAAATCAGTTTTTTTTTTTTTGTAAAAATTAAAGCCGTGAGTGATGAAGAACATTAATCAGTGGTAAATAATCAGTTGACACAAAGTGTAGTAAAGTTAAGAAACATGACAACTATTTTCACATGTGTGCATTCATTTTAGCAGTCCACGTTAAATTCAATTCACATTTGTTTGAAAACTAAAACAAAAATCACTTTTGTATCAGTTTCCATCTAAACAAAGAGAGGTGAAACAAATATTAATATTAGGCAAAAAAAAAAACAAAAAAACAAAACCCAAAACTTTGGTTTGAATCGTACCAACATGTGCCCACGCCCATCTGATTCCAATTCAGTTTTACATTAAACTTTGGTCCTGTGATTGATCACATGCTTTTAGCTCAAACACAACCTTCAACCACCAGTAGGTTTGTTTCCTTCGACACATGACTATAATCTATTCTGGACGATTTTCGAAACCTGCTGTAATCGTCTGACTGAATCAGCATATATTGACTTGTTTCCCCTCAATTTCTCCTGTCTTTTCCCCCATCTTAGACTGACACACCACAGTGTCAGACTATTCGTCATAATGTTTCTGCAAACATACTGCCACTGAGGTTTGATTCCAGGGGTGAAGCCGAATCAACTTATGTTAAAACATGCAATGGTTTGCACGTGATCAGATTATTCAGGATTAATTGTGCCCAAAGAGACGACTCCAAAAGACTGATGAGATGTGGTCATCTGACGGGATCACCAGGGCATACAGGGATTTGGACAGTCACGGATGTAGGACTCCAGTCGTCCCTCAGACACCTGCATCAGTGTGGTGTATGTAGTCAACTGAGAGAGAGAGATAGAGATAGAGACAGAGAGAGAGAGAGAGGGGTGCAGAGTCAAGATCACAGCAGCCCAATAACTTTATGCCCATTTTATGCCCAGAGACTGGTGAATGAAGACTCACCTTATTCAAGACTGGTTTGGTTGAGAGCACATTGTACATGGTCTTCAGAGAGATGCCCTGGAAACATGGAGACACAGCAAAATGTCATTAAGATATAGAAAGACACCGGGGACATAAAATCTATATAAAAATAATTTTAAAAAAAGTAGATAAATAACACACACATTTATGTACTGTACATGTTTATTCATCTAATCCAAGGCATGGGCAAACTAAGGCCTGGGGGCCAGATGCGTTCTGTTCATCTTTTTAATCCGGCCCGCCAAACTTTTCTAAATCGTATAATTGATTTATATTATTGTACTTCTGCCTTTTCCCTGCAATACCTACGTTTTCCCCAAAAGATGGCGTAGAAAATAAAAGCATTTTAGCTTTTTTTATATTTTTTATTCAATTTTAGGACAATTGTGGCCCACAAGTCAAAAAGTTTCTAATCTAATCTCTTTCCCGATGCTGACGCTTTCGGTTTTTTTTTTTTTTTTACAGATAGATGTGCGTGATAATAAATTGTCAATATTTTCTGTTTTACACTTTTAGTCTGACTTTAGTCAAAACCTATTACTGCAGAAAATCCATCAAATGTTTTAAAAGACAAAAAAAAAAACAACAAAAGAATAAATGACAAACAGTAACTCCGGAGGAACAAACGTTCTTCACTACACCAAACTGGCTGTCATCAGGCGGAACTCACTTTCTGTGTGGTCTGGTTCATGCACTTCATGGCAGGGGTTCTGCGGTTGTCCAGGAAAAAGGGTTCATCCCAGTGGTCGTAGTTTGTCTCCAGGACATACCACCGACCCAGTTTTAAGTCAATTCTGCAAATCAAACACTTCTTAAAAACAAAAAAACAAAACAAAACAAAAAAACATCATGTGACATTCAGGAGCAGATCAGATGTTGAAACTCGTCACTTCCTTGTTCAGCCAAGTTTCTCAAGATAAACCTGAGTCCAGTTGTGTTCATGTGACCAGGAAGAGATTTGAGTAGACTACTAGACTAGATATGTTTGTCCATGTACAAGATCAACAAGAGAAATCCACGACTCACTCTAGTAGATCCAGACTCAGTGTCCTGGAGCGGGTGATGACGCAGCCCTGACCGGTCTGATTCCCCCCAAGGATGAAGTAGGCTGGAGCCAGCAGCTTGGTCTGAGCCAGACGAGTTTTGGCTTCATTGTAGCTGATTTAGAGAAAAGACAAGATGAAATGATTAGAAGAACGAGTCAGGCATCGGACCATCTGAAGGCTGTTCCAGTTTGTGAAATTGCAGGTAAACCCTTAATGCAACTTAACTGGGAACTTTTTCTTAAATGTAGTATTTTATACAAATACCGAAGCAGTAGGTTGGGTAGCTTGTTTTATTTTTAAATAAGTATGAATGAATTTTTTTTGTTGCGCCACAGCACTCAACTCAAACTGTGTTTGTAGCACCCTCTGCAGGTGCGGAGAGGTATTGGTACATGAACTGAAATTAACAAAGTAACAATGTTGCATACATTTCCTTTCAAGCTGAGGTAGCCTTGCTATTTCAAGATTAAAATTAAAACTTAATTCAAGCCGGAACATTAATGTTTGTAACAAAAATACAACATTCTTGAGATAAAAAGTTTGGACCCGCATGTTAAGCCGCATTTCGTCCTGTTAGCTATAGTAGGTATAGTAGCCAAGAGTCACCTGTTCGCATTTTCCAGTACAGAGCGTGTAAGAAAGCCCATCCACATTCCATCTCTCTTCCCCAGGATCCACTCCATAATTCCTACGTGTATGGACACATGAAGACATGGTCACGGATCAATCATTAATGAAAGGATTTAATAAAAAGGGGGAAAAAAAAAATCAACAAAAAAGAAGGAAAAAAAGGGGGTGTCAGGAGTCATTGCCAGGTCAGAATGAGATTCAGTTGAAGTGTTTTTTGTTATCTTTCTACTACCTTTAGTTTACCAAACCTTTATTTACTTCTTTGACTTTTATTAACTTTTGATAATTCTAATCTCTTTTATATACATTGACCCAATCCTTTTGTAAAACTCTGGGAAATGTATGTTTGACTTGCAGTCGTTTCAACTACATTTCAGTCAGTAAACACTGATTTGACCTTTGTGCCCATCCTGCACCACGACAAATTTAACACGCAGTAATAAATGAGTCTTTAGAAACAAAAGCCTTACAGCGTTCCTTCACATCACCATTCATCTAACTGTCAAACAAATACACTCACCTATGTATCCTCCATCCAAGTTGAACCGTTCGTTCATAGTCAGGGTAAAAGTGTTCTGAAAGGAAAATGACAAATCACTCGATTAACGTCTCGTTACATCCACACACAGAAGTAGAGGTGTGTTAACAGCAGCAGCCAAAGCAGGTGTAAGGTTTTATAATGTTGAGACAGACGGCAGCAGTGACATCACAAACTCACAGGTTTAATCCCCGTCAGCATGCCAACATAACCGGCAAAGTTAGTGGACTTAAAGACAGTCTGGTTGTTTCTCCTAAAGTCCAGGTTGACCACCAGGGGCTTCAGCTTCTCACTGATGATCCAGGACTTGTTTTTCGCATCCCAGCTGTGAAGAGCCACCAAATTCCGTTCATGACAGGAGGCTTGTTTGTCTTTTGTAACCACTCCTGAACACCGCATCAATGTACTCACCCCAGAAATAATCCAAAATCCAGATTTCGGCCATGAATCAGATTCCCTGTGAGAGAACCAGACCCAGGAACGTGTCATCACGGATGTTGCACAAGATTAAGAAGGAAACTGAGCGTTTAAACTGTGACCAACCTTTAGTATCTTCTGCAACAACTGATGTGCAAACTGTGAACACCTCATAAAAGATGTTGAATAAGACAATCTCACCTAGAGGGCACAAAATGAATATGAGGATAAAAGGAAAAGTGGTCTTTTAATGCGGCAACTGACGAATATAATCATCGTTGAATAAACTTTGTTTATTTGATTGTGGATTTGCATGGGCCATACGTGATCAAATGGTTTTGGACCAATCGGTTTTAGGGCTACGTCCCATTTCATTTACACCAGAATTCTGCATGTCATTTCCATTAGAGAACAATAGATAAGAAAAACTTAATGAGAGTTGAACCAAAGGAGAAGAAACTAGCGAAGCACTGATACTAATACCACTAGTGTCAACTTTATAAGACTGTCCGGATCACTGCAAATTTACCTAAACACATCCTAAAGAAGTATCGGTACCTGGTATTTTTGAGTGAACAAACTCAGTGAGGGAACTCCAATTGAACAAATCCCTAATTCTTAACGTGACACTTTTATTATAAAGGACAAAAAAAAAGACCACAATCTAAGACCAAGTAGCTAATTTGTCGTCACAATGGTCCAACAACGGTTTAGAAAAAAGTGACACATTTGTCTTCTTACCCAGTGGAACTCCTGACTCTGTGGCTATTCCTTTAATCTCCTCTCTGAACGGATTAGGTAGAGTGTCTGCCATCAAAGGCTGTAGAAAGTCAAATACAAATCACATTGTGTGACCAAAACATTAGTGATGAATCTACTGTATTTTGACTGAAGGTGAGAAGAAGAAGAAGAAGACATAGACGAAGAAAAAGAAGAAGCAGAACTGTGACAGTACCAGTGTGATGTCCACCAGCTCTATCAGTCTTCCACTGGGCACAAAGGCACTAGCCAGGTCTCTGATGGCTTGAATCATATTCTGAATCTACAAATAAAAAAAATAAAAAAATCAGCATTAGAAGAAAATCTAGATTTTTTTTTCAAAACTGACAACAATGTGTTATATGTGAGTTCTTACATCAACTTTTTTGTCAGAAATCACTTCCTTCCATCTGCTGCTGGGTGGTAAATCCAGGTCCACTGTGTACCAGCTGACAGTTTCTCTGAACCTGATGGGAATGTTGAAAAAAAAAACAAAAAACTGCATAATAACAAAAGTCACATCCTGGTACAGGTGAGTTCCAGCTTTTGTTCCTTTTTTATTTCAAAATAAACTTGACAGGTCTGCAATCGCTCAATATATTTAGTTAATTTACATATCTGTATGTATTGTGTATTTTGTTGTTCTATTTTTCGTTCTATTTTTGGTCTTCATAATTCCCAGCGTTGTAGTTAAGAACATATCCTTATCTCGAGTTAAACACAGCACGGATAAAAAGCGCAATACTTCACTAGTAGCAAACACGTACAAAGATGAGAAATATACATCGAATTACATACCTGTGTCGTTAACGTATAACAACGAAAAAAAAACAACGTTTTTGCTGAAACACCTTCGAAGTGTCACGTGTTACCTGTTTAAATACGTTCTGTTTTTTCGAAACAAATGGTAAAAACGCAGCGTTTGGACGTTGAAATTAACGAGGGACTGTAAACGCAGCACAGCAACAACAGTGACTTAAAACAAAAACAAAAAAAAACATTTTTGGATAACAACATGAATCAAAATTGATTTTACTCACGTGGGTCCACTTGGTGGATACATGTCCGTCCGACATTCTTCTGTATACTGTACATTAATAATACAAAAATCATTAAAAACAAAACAAAAAAATCATTTCAACTGTTAATTCTGGGATACAAAACATACAAGAGCCCAGTTTATATGGACGATACGCTCACTATGACGCAACACTTACCGGTGGAACAAACTGTGACACTGTTAATGTAATTAAATAAGTTAAAATTAAACAAACGGCGTGACCCATATTGGATCGGTTTCACTTAAACTCTTGTCTGTGTGTGCGTTAGTATCAGGACGTTAACTACAGCTTGTGACCAGCGGACTGAACCATATGACAGAAAACGAGGGGGGAAACCAGAAGTTGCTTGAAGACGTCTAACTACAGGAATATGTTCAGGATAAAAAAAAAAACTATATTTAGGTATTGAGTTTGTGGTTTTGCTCTTTAGTAACCCAACCAAACAAGAAAAAAAAAACAAACAAACAAAACACATAGATACTCCCTAAAGGCGGTCTTCCAAAACCAGTGGTAAATTCCATACGGAAGTGACTTGCAGCGATTATTCCGAAAGGGGTGTCTCACATCAATTTTTTGGTTTAATTCACCACACAATTATTTACCTACATAAATGGAATTCGGAGAGTGAGGTTGGTATTTTAGCAGTTTTTATGGCAAGTGCAAACACTAAGCGTATTACAAGGTTTGGGATAATTTTGACCTGGTGCAACCAAAAACAATTCTGAAAATCCTCCAGTTGTCCAGCAGATGTCACCATCTCTGAGGCTTTAAAAGTTTGAATCTTTTTCGGCACAATTGTTAAGAAAGCCTCAGTGTTTCAGGCGGCTTAACCTGCTCACCACTATCAATATGTAGACGTTTATATAGGAAAAAAAAACAACATTGCCAGCACAGAAAAAACAAAAACAAATTTAAAATTTTATTAAAAAGAGAATGCAAGAAAACTGCTAAATATAACACCGACTGTCTTCCATAAACATTGCGTCTTCACTTGCAGTATCGATCTGCTTTCATTTTGCTTCTCCTGCAATAAAAAAAAAAGTCACATTACCATCAATCAATAAAGTGCCTCATGAATGAATGAAGAATTGTCTTATCATGAGTTAACTGTTATTGACAAAAAACACATTAACCTGGGTTAGCACTATAGTGCGTCAATAAATTCACGTTATAAAGTTGTTTAATTCTTCAAATTTAGGTTCACAATTTAAAATTTTTAATTCAACGGTAAAAATTAATATGGATTTTAATATTGTTTAGTTGAATAAAAAAACAACAACACAACATTGGTTTCTTTCCTCACCTGTCCAGCAACGCCTCGTGAAACATCCCATCCTTTCTGGCCTTCTTTAACACAGTGGCATCACCTTCGTTAACTCTGAGTCTACGATCCTGAAAACTCTGAAACTTTTTCCTGTGAACCAAGGAGTACAAAACAGATTTAAAAAAAAATGACAAAACTGTCAGTAAATCATACAATACAAATTTTGGATATTTATGTGGATTTTGTATATATTACCATCAGAATGATTGATGTGCAGTGACGTGGACGTGACATGTAGTGTGTCTATACAAGTCTGATCAGTCAGGTTACAGCTGTATAAACTGTGAGAATGGACCCTTCAATTGGATTGTCCCTTTAAATAGACAAAGCTGTGCAGAGTTTTTATTTCCTGTGATAATTGTGTCAATATCGTAGTCACTTTTTTTTTTCTACAAAGCTTTTGTACAGAGTTAAAGGGGACAAACAAATCATCTCCTCTAATCAGTACCTCCATAGACCTGCCTTTGTTTTATGAGTCCTGCTGTGCACTCTGTCCTGAGAGGCGTTTCACGAGCTGAACACTACATCAAAACCCAGACTCAAGGGCAGCCATTATCAACATGTCAACATGACGAGTCCATTTCCACACCATTCATCTAAAACAAATAATAGAGTCGGAGCACAAGCCGAAATTGTGCCGGAGCAAAAAGAAACTGCCTCAGAATTTATAGTTGGGAAGTCAACAGGCGGCAGAAGGGCTGTATATAAAACACCAACTGCTCTTCCTTCACACTCAAACAGCTGACCGTCAATTCCATCTTTAAAGCATTTGGGTTAAAAACGTATTAGCGGTCAGGTTTGGTTGTTTTTTTGATTCAGTCAAATGGTCTGAATGAATGGTCTGGAAATAATAGTAATAATTAAAAAAACTGGGAAGAATTAGAATTTAAAATATGCATTCATTTTTTTCTAACGTTTACCAGTGGAGCTGTTCACAAACTTAACTTTCATTCACTTTAATGAATACTGTTTGGAAAAAAAAATCTTTTCTTTAATGAATACTGTTTGGAAAAAAAAAATCTTTTCAGTGTTACTGATTGATTTTCTTTTTTAAACATACTGTTTTTAATGGGCATTACTTGGCATTTGTTTTAAATCTCCACCTCATGGTAGATTGTATCTGTTTTTTTTTTTAAAACATACTGTTTTTAATGGGCATAACTTGGCATTTGTTTTAAATCTCCATCCCTGATCTCTCTCTCTCTCACCCCCCCTCTCTCTCTCTCTTTCTCCCTCTGTTTCATTCTCTCTCTCTCTCTCTTTTTTGTATTACTTCCTTCCTCCGTCATCAGGGCCTGAATGCAGAACAGACTTTAAAAAAAAAAAAAAAAAAAATTTACTGCCAACGGTAAACAGTGGAAATTTACATACACATAACTGATCTCGCAGGACTTCACGTTGCCCCTGTCCTCCTCTGCCAGGTCATCTTTATGCTTGACCTCTCTTTCTGCACTCGATCTGATCTGTTTGTCGTAGGAGAATGGGGGTGGAGGGGGGGGTAAACCAGAGGAGTCACATACAACACTTCTCCCTCCTTTTTTACAAAGTCACAGCCAGACAGCGGTAACAAACTCCAAATGAAAGGACTAACATGCGACACGGTGGAAGTACACAATCCACCTCCTCACCTTCACCATCTCGTCGTCCCCTGCCGCCTTGCTCTTAGCAACAATGTCCCCGCTGTCACTGTAAGAGATGAAGCAGCTATTTGCTGCCATCAGGGCCATTTTGCCCTGAAGCAGAGGAGACAGAACAGAGGAGAGGCAGTACATTAGACAGAACCACAGACTGGATGTTTTTGACAAGTATGAAAGGATGCCTGATATTTGATGTTAAAGGGACTGGGCCAGGCGGGTTGTTTATTGATTCAACAAAGCATCAAGTCGAACAGTGTGCTCCCATGATAAGGCGTGTGCTGGCTGCATGCAATAAAGGACTTGTCTCTGGCTAAAGCCAAGTGTTATCTAATGCTGGATGCCATTCAACAGTGAGATACAAAGGAGGAAAGCAGTGGGAACATGATGTGACAAATGCTAAAAAAAAAAAGTAGTATTTTTATTTACATTTAAGAAAATCTAATAAAAACAAAACAAAACAAAAAAAAAAATCAAAAAGGTATCCATGTTGCATATTAAACATATCTTCCTGATATATAAGATATTGTTGGGTACATATCTTCCTGATATATAAGATATTGTGGGGTAAACAAAACAAAAAAACTCACTAACATCTAACATGCACCTCTTCTTACTCTATGACCTACTATCCTTATGACTTACTTATGACATATTCTTATGACATATTTTTATGACATACTATTCATCTTACTCCATGGCTATAACTGTGCCTTTTCTATTTATTATTTATGTATTTTGTATGTTTACTGCATTTACTGATTGTTGATTGACTGACTCAAGTTGTAAGTCACTTTGGATAAAAGTGTCTGCTAGATGTATTGTAATGTCATGTAATGTATATAAAAAAAGGTTGAAACACAGATGGCCAAAACATTTAGGGCCTAAACTTACCTCTTGAAAGACTGGTTCCCATTGTTCCCTAGAACCAATTGCATCAGAGCGCCCCACCACCAAACCTTCAGAGTTGATGCCCAGGTACTTCCCATATCCAGACTTGAAGGCCAGTCTGAAGCAGCAACAATCACACGAAAATAGTCAATAACAGACACTGTTATTGCAATTTTTTTTTAAATCTCTTTTTTGGTGTTTCCAAGATAATGTTTTTCTCTCATAAACACAATAACTACACTGACCAATTAACCCTGCAAGAGGTCGTACCAAATGCATAATTAAAGTTCTAATTTTACTGCATGTGTGAAAACTGATGTGTGTTTGTATTCACCGTGTGTCTGAGAGCTTTATGGCAGTGAACTGCTCTGGTGGATCTGGTCCTTCATCATCTGAAACATATAAAAGACGTTCCGTATGTTGGCTGCTGCTTTTAAATACATATTACATCTTTTCTCCATGCCTGGTCTGAACAAAACATATAAAAGACGTTCCGTATGTTTGCTGGGGCTTTTAAATAGATATTACATATTACTTTTCTCTATGCCTGGTCTGAATAAACGAAATATAATGTATATTATTAAACTACACAAAAGGTATGAGGTGGATTTGAATTAATGACTGTGTTATGGTCATATTAAATTAAAATGTTCATCGTTTCCTCCCAGGTGTCACACGTTCATGCAAGGCTGTATTCAAAAATGCAAAACCCCCTCAGGCTTGTATGGAGCTCACGTGAGACCTGTTCACCAGCACAGACAAATATGAAAAAGAGCTACTGTGTTTGTCCTGCAGTCTTCTGGGCTCTGTGTGAGTTTAAATACAGCGGTAACCAGATTGTGATTAGGTCACATCCTGACCTTTACAATAAATCAATTTTAGTATACCATACAAAAACCTGGCGAAGTGAGACCAGAGTCCACTTCACTTCAAAATAAAATGGTGGTGAAATGTCACATTAGACACTTCACAAAAGCTTTTCATTTGAATATGTCGGAGATTGACCTTTACTTGAGCTAATTGAACATCAGCATGTTTTCACTGACCTGCGGGTGAATATTTATTTATTTTCTTAAAGAATGTCCGATTCCTCTTTCCACACTGTGAGCTTGTGTGAGCCTCGTGCAAAGATGACTTCATATGCAAAGGGAGAGTGCAATCAGGGAATCGGATTGTTTCAATCTCAGAACCATTTAAGCCCGTTCTCACAAAATGGGGTTTAATTAATCGTAAGTATTGTCTCTTTCCGGGCAGACTGGTGCAATAGGCTCAGCTTCCTCAGAGGAGCCCTGAGGCTGAAGTGCGTAGGCTTTTCCCTTCTCCTCAACTCAACCAGCCTGCGCTTAGCATAGTGCAATCTGGAGTCTGGATTTCCTATTTAAATACTTTCAGCTCCGTTGACGTAAGTACAACAGAGTTCTAGCCCCTTGAACCTCCCAACTTCAGGGGCCTTTAAGGGTGAGAACATCTGTTAGATTACCTTGGATGATACATTGAGCTGATTTAACGATGAGTACGCCGACACCATTGATCACATGCCTTGCAAAGCATCACAATTAATACAACCACTGCACAGACCAATGAACACCTTAATGTCAAGCAAGTAATTAAAATTAAAACACAAAACACACTTACCATTGTGTGGTGCACCGATTGTGAAAAGTCCAGTGTCCAGTGCATGGACATACGAGTTGCTGTGCATTTCAATTGCAACTAATCCAGTGATGTCTCCAAATTTTCGTACTAACCACCAACCGTCTGAAGAGCAGAAAAATCCACATCCAAAATGTAAAATATTGGTCCAGAAACTACTAATTACAGAATTAAAGACTACTAACAATTAAATAAAACTAACACAAAAGACAAGTCATGTTTTACAAACATAAAAAGTATGTTGTTAATAAAACAGGTTACATTTATAGATAATATAATACTTCCTTAGAACTGTTAATTATTAATGCAGATATATTATTACCTTTTACATCAGGCTTTACATCGTCTTCTGTGGCCTTCCTCTTCTTTTCCTTGTGTTTCTTTGATTTACTGTGTGGTACAAATTGCTTTTTTTGAACCATAGTTGAGCCACTAAGGAAGAAAGCTAAAACTAAGACTTTGCCATTTATAAACTAAATATTTAGCCATCTATAAACTAAATATTTAGAACATTATAGTTTACTTTAATAAACAGTATTCTATAGGGCAGTATCTTAATTTTTAACTGAAACTAACAAAAGAAGAACTATATAAAATCAACATGAACAATAGTATGAGTTTATGATAAATACATTTCTACAAACAACGGACACTTTTTAGGCTTTAAATTTTTAAAAACATTTAGTTTTATAGTAAGATACATATTATTTTAGTATGAGGCTTTTAAAAAATCGACTTCTCTTGTATAATGTATAAAAAGTAAGTAGTAGTAGTAGTAGTAGTGCATAAGTAAATACACTTTCTACAAATGTATCTGACAACAAGAACTTCAACATTGACAACATCTAAAACCATATAAAAAATTATAGCATTTATTTTTTATTTTTTTCTTCTGGTCAATACAATGTTATGGATAAAAATCGTTTGTGCTCGAATGTATCATGTCTACAATTAATTAACGACAGTTCTTGTCACCGATGTCTTTGTTACAAACGACACCTTGAGGTCGATTGTAAATTAAACACTCTAAACTATTGCTCGTTATAATTAGTCGCCAATCTTAATCGATATGACTGACATGAATGTAAGGAGAGAAGTAGCATAATTCGTAATGTCGTCATCTTAGCCACTGCTAGCCTAGTTGAACTAGGCAGGTAAAACCCCGCTGCTTTTGTCCTAAAAAATACTAAAGTCCTCAGTGGTTCATTATACCGAGTAAAGGATACTTACCCCTTGTTCTGACCTTTCAATACCAATTTAGTTGACTTCACGTGCGAATATTCTGCCATTTGTTACCGCGTTACTTAATAGCTAGCACTGCCTGAAAACGCAGAGTAGAAGTACGGCGGCCACCAAGGGACTTTCAAGTTTTTCGCGAATCTCCCGAGTTAATCTCCACCCTGCGGATAAACGGGCCATTTTCATTTTTTGCTGGACGCTAACATCTTTTTTTTTATATATATATATTTTTGTTTTTTAGGATTTAAGTGTTTATTACTAAACACTGTCAGCGGTGCCACATGCAAAAAAAAGTTTAGCATACATGATAACACAGTAAATCTTACGTTGGAAAATACAAATGAGAACAATTAAAATGCAGGAATTATTTGAATGATTTTTATGAAGTATATTTTTATATTGTAATTTACATGATTTAAATTTGTCCCGACATATTTCAGCCAATGGGGAGGCAGTGTCTTCCCTGCCCCCCCTCCCCCGCAAACTCCGCCCATGACCGAAATAGTATACATCTTGATGCATAATAATACTCCACGCACATACATTTTATTTTATTATTTTATTGCACAGTGAATCCAGAATAATCAGCACTGTCATTCAGCATCATGTCCATGATACTGAATGGGAGAGCTCATATATAAGGTATATGAGGTTTAGACCTGGCAGCTCATAAATCATACAAGCCTTTTGTTTTATACATCACATCAGGGTTTAAAAAAAAGAACACAAACAAACAAATACACACACATACAGGCGAGTGACACCTAGAGTCTGACGTGTTCAGTTGTTTATGACAATATCACATTAAAATGCAATTATCCAACCAGGACCAGTGCTGAGAGGTTATGGATCATTTACAGATACTGTCAAGAAAGTAATTTTTATTATCCCCCTCTGCAGTAAGGACTGAAGGGCCTGAAGAAAAAGCTGACGGCATTTGGTCAAACGAAGACAGAGTTACCATAATAACTGGGGCGCACACCATGTCATAACCAATACAGAAAACAGTCACAGAAGACCACTTCAGAAGATAAACAGATAGGGTTTTGTGAAGTCGTGAATCAACATTTTTCACTGAGCCGAGTTTGTTCTCTTGCTATTTGTTGAATGTAATGGTGTTTTGACAGCAGTCCTGCTGTTTATGGGATTAAGCAGCCAGAACTTGTTTTGGAGAAGCTCAGCATCTAAGCTCAAGATTACTAAAAAAAAAAGAGCAGCAGGAAAACAACATTAAGCAGAGTGCTCGCTTAGACAGTGCCTGATAAAAATACTGAGGAGTGACCACATAGGGCAGTGGTGGCTTGGTGGTTAAGGAAGCAGACTTGGATCTGGAAGGTTTCAGCTTTGAGTCCATGAGCTGCAGAGGTGCTTTGAGTATGGCACCTTCCCCTCACACTGCTCCCTGGGCAGCATAAGATGCTCCTTGCTCATTTTGGTGATGGGTAAAATGTAGAGGTCACATTTCATTGTGTGCAGTAGTGTGCTGTCACATAATAATGAATAATTCACTTTTCTAAGCATTTTCTTAAGTCCTATTCCCCATTAGAACTATTATAAGCCCTATTATTCTTTTTAATTTATTTAAACACAAAGCCACACTGTATGTGGCTTTAAAGGTCTATTGCAGTGATCACTCATCTCCAGCACCACACGCATACCTTGATTCTTCTCAGATGCTCCTCCAGGTAGCTTTCCAGTATACACTTGCATATTCCATGCACAGCTAGATTTTGCATCACAGGCTACCCACATTTTGATGCCATACTTGGCAGGCTTGTTGGGCATGTACTGTCTGAAAGGACAGTGGCCCCTGAATGGCACAAGCGTCCAGGTCAAAATGACCCACAACATCATCTTTGTATACAAACTCTGCACATACGTTCCACTACACATCAAAGTGTCCAGATTTTACACACCAGTTCATGACCCTAGATGAGGAAAAGTCACACAATTTCATGAAGAAAAAGAAAGGGATAACCTGTACTTTGGTCAACACAAAAATCGAAATGGGTCAAATTGACCCTTAACATACTGTAATACAAGGGTTAATTCTCGTCTTTTCTTTCTCCCTACTTTTCTTGGAACTTGAAACTTTCTCTCACGAAGTCACATCTGTCACCCCTGCTCCTTTCCACAACCCTCTCAACCCTGCCCACCTCCAACCCCTTCGCCATCTGTCACACACAAGTTTCCACCGAGGATTTGGGTGATGGCAGGTTAAGTTGCTGACAGACTGGAGCAGGTGTTTTTATAAGTGGCAGCTTGCTGTTACATTGCACCATGGTCGAACTCTCACTTTGTCAATGTCACTGCTCACTCATAACGTGCTTCCACGCCGCGTGTTCACTCAGGTTGGTGCAGTTTATGATGCGGATGACGAGGTTAGGGAAGGAAGCAGATGACGACGGGTCGTCCTCAATGATTCACCGTTGCCCAGTTAAATTGGTGTAAGGATGTCATTTTCTGTGACAGGGACACTGGGGGTGAAGCTGGTAAGTATGTATAGTTACATGTGATAATTTTCATCTTTTTGGCATCCCCCATGAAACCCTACATTATTTCCCAAATAGTGGGACAAGCCCCCGTGGGGTGTGGGGGGAGTATTGGGAGGGTTGGGCATGAGAGGCTTCCAGTGGAATATGGCACACTGGACAGAAGTGGTCCACTGCTGTAATGCTTGAACGATAAACAAGCCTTCAGTCACTAGGTTGCAGCCATGCTCAAAATATTAAGTAGGAGAAGCACACAGGAGCACCTGTGAGCTGATGGAGGTTTCAGGGTGTAAGGCTTTTTATTTTCTGGATAGATATGTTCAAGGAAAGTAAATGCAAATGTTCGTCTCTTCTGATTGGCTACAATATAAGCAACCTTCAAATGTTTATAACTTAAGCAAATAAAGTGCACTTGTTTGAAGTTGTTGTAGATGTTATATCAGTATTATTATTACTAGTATTATTACAAAATAGCGTACCCACCCACCCTCCCACCCTCTTAGGTCAGCTTCCACCATCCACCTCACAGTGTCTTCCGCTCACTTCACTGCCTCCGGGAAACAAAGCCTTTAATGGCTCTGCTCCCAAGCTCTGGAAATCTATTCCCTACTGAACTCAGAGGCATTTCTACGTGTCAAATGAGTCCTTTCTATGTACAAATGAAACCTCAAAACTTTTTGTTCAAATGTCATTATTCACCATAAATAAGAAAATTCAATTTCCAGTATTCAGTGTTTGTCTATTTTTTTAAAATTCATTTTTATTGAGTTTATTTTCTATTATTTTATTGATTGATGGCAACTTTGAGCGTCTAAGATAGATAGATAGAGAGATAGAGAGATAGATAGATAGAGCGAGAGATAGATAGAGAGAGAGATAGATAGATAGATCGATAGATAGATAGATCGATAGATAGATAGATCGATAGATAGATAGATGGATGGATAGATAGATAGCTAGATAGAAAGATAGATAGATAGACAGAGAGAGATAGATAGATAGAGCGAGAGATAGATAGAGAGATAGAGAGATAGAGAGATAGAGAGATAGATGGATGGATAGATAGATAGCTAGATAGAAAGATAGATAGATAGACAGAGAGAGATAGATAGAGAGATAGATGGATGGATAGATAGATAGATGGATAGATAGATAGCTAGATAGAAAGATAGATAGATAGATCGATAGATAGATAGATGGATAGATAGATAGCTAGATAGAAAGATAGATAGATAGACAGAGAGAGATAGATAGATAGATCGATAGATAGATAGATTGATAGAGAGATAGATGGATGGATAGATAGATAGATTGATAGAGAGATAGATAGATAGAGAGATAGAGAGATAGAGAGATAGAGAGATAGAGAGATAGATGGATGGATAGATAGATAGCTAGATAGAAAGATAGATAGATAGACAGATAGATAGATAGATGGATAGATAGATAGCTAGATAGAAAGATAGATAGATAGATAGTGTTGTGCAGGGAGACCTTGTTTATCCTTGGATGAATGGACTGCCTGCCTTCATACATTTCATGGTGGCCTGTACCACAGTAATACTTGACTTCATGGGTCTCTAGGTCTGGGAATCCACTACATACTGCAGTCATTTAGAAGTCTTACAGCAATTTCACCGTGGGGTATGGAAGAGAGGGCTTTGAAGAATGGATAAACACCTGTGACATTTTCTTTCAGTACTGTTGCTGCAGTGTAACCGTATCCACTTTCCCCTTTTCTTGAAGCCTTTTCTGAGTTTTTCTTTATTGGATGCTACATGACAAGCAGCTTCTTTTTTTGACATTTGCCTTAGTTTAAGCCACGTACAGAGACTTCCTGTCGCGGTCCCGTGGTGACTGGTGTGTAAAACTAGGAAAGAAATGACATGTGTGTTTTTTTTTAGAGAAAACAAATAATAGACATCACACATTATACGTGTCTTTACCGCACGTGGTACTCGTCAAATTTAATACTGGGATAAAAAAAAAAAAAGAACATTTTTGTTCTTTTACGGTGTGCTCCTTTGATGTTAGTTCCTCACTATCTCAGAGAAGAGCATCTGTGTCTCTGCTCTATTGGCTTAAAACAGTCATCTCGCTTCAGAGCATCCCAGATCCTAGTTTCACTCCTTCTGTGCCTCTCTCCTCCCCCCTCTCCACTTCCCCTGATTTCTCTGTGTGTGCGCCATCCACACAGCCCTCTCAGTTCTATCTTCACAGACTGCCTTCCATCAGTTGTGAATGCAAAAAGAGACTAATTTATTACTCAACCTGTGACGCTCTGCAGCAGGGCCGACTAAGGTAATCAGGATGCTTTTCATGGCACATTATAGTTCTACCT